GTCTCCCTTCCAGGTGGATTAATTTTGCAAGTCCTGTCTAATGTAAGGACCCACCCCACTTTGCATCTTAAGAAGAGAGAACTCTTGGAATAATTCTTCCAACAGGAATCCTTTATTAAGAGAAAATGGTTGCAGGCATGCTAGACAGGACTTGGGGTTCAAGCTCTTCCATTCAAGGTTTTAAGGGGTTCCCCAGTAGTCCCACCCAATCAACCCCCCTTCCAGTGATAGTTTCAAGTATCACAATTCCACCCCTTTTCTTCTTTCTTCCGTCTGGATGGAGACTTCAGATAACTACATGAAAGGCAATTACCCTTCTTTGATATGCTAATGCTTAGAGGTCACAATAAACACACATTCATCATTCAGCCCTTTGAAGTGTACTGAAGGAAGTGAGGGCCATAAAGCCCCTTTGCTCTCCCCCTTCTCTCCCTCTTATGGCAGAATCCAGAGAAGGCAGAATTGGGAGTTTCTATATTTGATAATTAAAGATGAAATATAATTGGATTCTGACAGTGTCCGAATTTTGATCACAAGGATTCTGCAATGGTTGTAAGTGTGAAAAACAGTCATATTTTTTTTTTCAGTGCCATTGTAACTTCAAATGATCACTAAACAAATTATTGTAAGCAGTGGTGGGATTCAGCCAGCTTGCACCACTTCAGCAGAACTGATAGCTAATTTTTTGTTGCCCAGGCCCAGAATGGACTTCTGGAAGTGGCATCCACAAAGAGAACCAGTTGTTCACATATTTGAATCCACCACTGGTTGTAAGTTGAGGACTGTATACACTGCTAAACCCTAGCATAGTAGGAAAAGGGATAGTAATACAATTAGCTGGAACAACCCTATATGTATCTATTATCAACAACTATTAGCTGCCAGTAAAGTCCTCATTTATAGGTGCTGCTTTTTAGAAGATAAGTAGGGAGTTTTCCTTTTTAACTATTTGAGTTAGGAGTTATTTGGGCAAAGTCCTCTGAGGTTGGTTGTGGTTAAACCTTTCAGCAGTGTTTTATGGTTATCTTTATTTGCACATCTTGTAAGGTGTATTTGTATGTAACACCCAGTGAAAATATAGAAACAGAAGTAAAACAGGAATAGAATAGAATAGAATAGAATAGAATCTGGAAGGGACCTTGGAGGTCTTCTAGTCCAGCCCCTTGCTCAAGCAGGAGTATCTATACCAGGAGTAGGCAACCTCGGCTCTTTTATGACTTGTGGACTTCAACTCCCAGAATTCCTGAGCCAGCATGGCTCAGCTTGGAAACCTCTCCCTTTCCCCTCAGCATGACTGGCTCAGGAATTCTGGGAGTTGAAGTCCATGAGTCATAAAAGAGCCAAGGTTGCCCACCCCTGACCTATACCATCTCAGACATGTAACTGTCCAGTCTCTTCTTAAAAACCTCCAGTGATGGAGCGCCTACAATTTCTGAAGGCAAGCTGTTCCACTGGTTAATTTGTCCTCACTGTCAGGAAGTTCGTCCTTAATTCCAGGTTGCTTCTCTCTTTGGTCAGTTTCCAACCATTGTTCCTTGCCCTGCCCTCTGGTGCTTTGGAGAATAATTTGACCCCCTCTTCTTTGTGGCAGCCCCTCAGATACTGGAATACTGCTATCATGTTACCCCTATTTCTTCTTTTCTTTAAACTGGGGGGGAGCTAACATCTGTTGAAAATTACTATGGGTAATTTCCAGTTTAGTTTGCATCCAGCACACTTTTAATCAGAGCAAGCCCATTCAGTTCAGCTATAAATAATATAACTTGATGTGTTCATTTAAAAAAATAGCTATCTGGAAGAAACAGGACAATAGACAGATAAAAGCAGGGAGAGAAAAAGCATGAAAAAGCACGAATTTACATTGCTTGGTGTTTCTTAGCCTTGACAACATGAAGAGATCTGAACTTCAACTCCCAGAATTCTCAAGCCAACAAAAGCCTTATCTAACAAAATGACATTCTGCATTTAAGCAAGAAAAACCAAATCCACAGGTATGATATAGGTAGAACCTGGTTCAATACTTGTCCTGAAGGCAGGACAAGAAACAATGGATAGAAACTGATCAAAAGGAGAAGCAACCTAGAACTAAGGAGAAATTTCCTGTTAGAACAATTAATCAGTGGAACAACCTGCCTCCAAAAGTTGTGGATGCTCCAACACTGGGAATTTTCAAGAAGAGACTGGACAACCATTTGTCTGTAATGGTATAAGGTTTCCTGCCTGAGCAGGAGGTTGGACTAAAAGATCTTCAAGATCCCTTCCTATTGTGTTATTCTGTTACTCTTCAATTTGTCAAAGTTGAGAAACATTAGTCTAATATCTGTATCAATATACACATAATTTTCCAAAGCCGCTGTGGGTAACCAGCATTGACTGAAGGATTACGTCCCATGAAATTGGTGTCATCTCTTAGCAATCAGAGTTTTTTTCCAGAAAGGTCCATCTGTCCCCTGGTCTTCCAAGTTTTTCAATGAGCACTGGATCATTAGCATGGAGAATGCCAAAGGAAGCCTTTGATTATTCCAGTTTTAACCATTTATATACATGCCAATAGCAAAATAGAGATGGAAATTAGGACACCAGGTGATGCTTCCTATAGTATGTACTGCAAGGGAACAATTTAGTGGGTGGCTGAGGAATTCTGGGAGTTGAAGTCCACACATCTTCAAGTTGCTAAGGTTGAGATAAAAATTTGCTTATTACTATTTTAGGTATTCTTGTTTTATTGGGATACTTATGGTTCTTGTTAAGTTCAAAATAAAGAATTGAATGTTATTACTGTTCTCCAACTGTAACATTACACATCTGTCTCAGGACATAGACAAGAAGTAGGCAAATATTTTAGACTGGTTCATTTGAAATATTGAAAGAACACTTTAAAAAAAATGATTCTCATGATAGCTATGCCATCCTTTGCTATGGGTTAATTATGTCCTCTCTTGTTCTTTAGAATTTCTCTAAAAAAATCCAATCCTATCTCTCTGCTCTAAAACAAAGCAGCCCAAGTCAGAGATTTTCCAAGTAAGTCATAGCTTCTCCTTCCTACTGATAGAAAGAAATTCCGGCAGTCACAGCATTTATCATGCTATAAAACTGTGATGTAACCAGAATCCTGCAACAAACAACTTTGGAGTAATTATATGTGGCAGCAGCCCAAAAAAGCCAATGGAATCCCAGGTTGCTTTAACAGAGGGGTAGAATCAAGATCATGTGAAGCAAAGGTACCATTTTATAAAGCCCAATACAAAAAAAAAAGATGTTGAGATTTTGGAAAGAGTACAGAGAAGAGCAACAAAGATGATTAGGGGACTGAAGGCTAAAACATATAAGGAACGGTTGCTAGAGTTGGGTATGTCTAGTTTAACGAAGAGAAGGACAAGGGGGGACATGATAGCAGTGTTCCAATATCTCAGGGGCTGTCATAAAGAAGAGGGAATCAAGCTATTCTACAAAGCGCCTGAGGGCAGGACAAGAAGCAACAGATGGAAACTAATCAAGGAGAGAAGCAACCTAGAACTAAGGAGAAACTTCCTGACAGTTAGAACAATTAACCAGTGGAACAACCTGCCTCCAGAAGTAGTAAATGCTCCAACACTGGAAGTTTTTAAGAAGAGACTGGACAGCCATTTGTCCGAAATGGTGTAGGGTTTCCTGCCTGAGCAGGGGGTTGGACTAGATGACCTCCAATGTCCCTTCCAACTTTACTACTACTATTATTATTATTTTCCTTTCCATCTTTTCCTTCCTTTGTGCTCACTTTTTAGACTTGTGGTTTTACTATCCTGTACCTTGTTTTGAGATTGTTTACATGCCTACCTATTCATAAATAGGGATAAGGAAAGTTAGAGGGCAGAAGACATACAAAATAGGAAGCCAAATAAAGTACTGAGCTATGAAAAACGCTATAAAAGCAAACGTTGGCTAAATCTACTTTATACCAACACCGTTTACTGAATCTCCCCATACCTTTCTCTTCTTGAAAACCATCCTTGTCCATACTCTAGTTTATTTATTCTTTGACAAGGAAAAGTGGCTAACGAATCTGCATTTTTCAAGGTATAAACCTATCCTCTCATTATTTGCAAAGCAGGTATGCAGAGAGAGCAGGAGATAGTGTAAGAAATTGTAAAAAGCTCCTTACCAAAATGTCTATGTTGAAATATCAGCAGAATTTGTTAAACTAAGCCCACTGCATCTGCGAATTAGAAATAAATATCGTTTCTTGAAAAGCACTAGATAGAACAAATAAAACATCACTGTAATGTAGAGAAAAGCAATGTATGTCCACAATTTTTGGTCTCTTTCCTTATCGCAGTTTAGGGCAGGGGTAGGGAACCTTGACTCTTTTATGACTTGTGGACCTCAATCCCCAGAATTCCTGAACCAGCCATGCTGACTGAGGAATTCTGGGAGTTGAAGTCCACAAGTCATAAAAGAGCCAAGCTTTAGGGCATTAGCAGCTTCTGTTTGCGGTTAGGGACGTTTCAGAGGTGAAAATCCCTGTCCCGACAAGGCTATTTCGCCATTCACCCAGGAAAACCACAGCTCTTAGGCACTTGGCCAAAAGCTGCCTTCAGATCTTGCAGCAAGGATGGCGCTTCCGAGAGAGTCGATCTAGCAAAGCATCTGATCCACCCCAGCTTGCGCGATCCTCCTGTACACCCAGCCGGCCTCGCCCGGAAGAAAGCTCCGCTGAACCCGGCGACGGAAAGGTCTTGACGAGGCTCTCGGGCGTGTCCGCCTGGAAACGTCAAGCTCCCGACCTCCCGTGTCTCCCTCCTCGCTTTCACGTCCTGCCCTCCTCCGTCTTTTCGGACCCCAGCGAAAGTGGACCTCTGGAACGGGGGAGGGGGTGGCGGCGGGTGGGAGGAAGCAGCGCGGGATGAATGAAAAGCGAGCGAATGAATGAATGAATGAAGAGCCCGGAGGAGGCGCGGGGGGAGGAACGCAGCATCCGCAGGAACAGCCACGGGCGGGAGGGGCGGGGGGGAGAAGCGGGAGAGAGCGCGAGCCGCTGGTCACGGGGTGGGGACAAACGAGGAGGAGGAAGGAGCCGCCGCGGCTATTGGCGGCCGGGGCTGCCCGTCAGAGCCCCCCCTGCACTTCCTGCCACTCGGCGGAGCCCCCGAGGAAGTGGCCCACGCCGGCTGAGGCCACCGCCGCCCAAGCTGGAGCATCTGAGCCCGCCCCGCCGCTCTGCGCTCCCGGCTTCTTCCTCGGCGCATCTCTGAAGCTGGCTCCGCCATGGCCTGGCTCTGGAAGCGCGGGGGGTGAGCGGACAGGGGGCCTCCAGGAGCCCCGACGCCGGCTTTCCCCCCACACCAAAAGCGGGGCACGCAGCCAGGTAAGTAAAAGCGGGGTGGGTGGGGGGGGATGGAGTGGCGGGTTTGGACTTCAACTCCCATCATTCCCTAAGAATGGGGTGGGGGTGGATGGGAAATCAGAAGGGGAGGTTTACTGCTGTGGGGAGTTAGGCTGGATTGCCAGTCCAGCAATTGGATGTTTCTAGACTCCGGAATTGGATCGCCATATGTCCTCCTTCCCCTCCCACCCACCCCCCGCCTTGGATCTTAGCCGTACGTTTTTGCATGCTCTCTGCCTGGATCAAGGGCTAGTAAGTCAGCAGTGCTGCGTTTGTGCTTCCCCCTCCCACGCACCCCCGTCCACTCAGTTGTGTATTTCTGGGGTTCCAAGGCCTGCTGCTCCCACCTCCCCTTTTTTCAGGGAGGGGATCTGGGTCAGTCGTTGGGAGGATACAGGCAGCCCTCGACTTACAGCCACAATTGAGCAACACCATTTGCGTTGCTAAATGAAACATTTGATAACTTTTCTTGCCACGGTTGTTAAATGAATCACAGCGATTGTTAAGTTGGTAATACCGTTGTTAAGTGACTCTGGACTTCCCCCTTGACTTGACTTGCCAGACAGGACCCTTAAGACACAGCAGCTGTTACAAATAGGAGTCAGCTGCCAAGGGTCTGAATTTTGATCATGTGACCGTGGGGATGCTGCAATGGTCATAAGCAGTGCTTTTTTTCTAAAAAAAAAAAAAAAAAAGGTGCCAGAACTCACACACATCATACAACCCGCCTTGTCTACCTTACAAGGTTCCACCCAAAAAAGGTGCCGGAACTCCGTTCTGGGCGTTCTATGAGAAAAAAAAGCCCTGGTCATAAGTGTGAAAAAATGGTCATAAGCCATTCCCCCCCCCCCGTGGTGTTGTAACTTTGAACAGTCATTAAATTAACTGTGGGTAAATCCGGGACTACTTGTACTATAGAAGTGGGTGTGGATGCCTGGAGGTTAAGCTTTTATTGGGGTGAGGAGACTGTCCTTTTTAAAGGGAGGAGATCTGGAAGGAGGAACCCGGCGTGACTTGGGGTGATGGTGGAAGGAACAGAGCCAGTGTGAGTCCAGTGTGAGCTGCTTACGGTGAGATCTGCCTTAGGAGAGGTGGGTTTTGAAGTCATAAAGAGTGGAAAGTAAAAAAAAAAAAAATTGGGGAGAATTGGGGGTGGGGGTCTGTGAAATACAGTCATATGAATTGGGAGGCAAGAAAAGTGGTCAAAGTGGGATTCTGGCAAATTAGGATGATAGAAGACCTGGAAAATAGAAGACCGTAGAAGACCTGGAAAATAATATTTACATAATGTTCAAGTGAGTTCTTGCAGCTGTGGTGGAAGGAGCTTAGTGGATTAATTATGAAAAGATAAGCATCCTTTGAATGTATTTGAGATAGGCAAGTACTGTGCTAGGCTGGCTTTGTTCAAGGGTTACTAATGGCCTCTGGTTTTCTTAAGTGGTTTCTCTTTCCCTTAATAGTGATCCTGAGCAACCAAGTGCCTTGAATTCTTTTCTCAATCATTCTTGCAACAGCCTTATTGGGATGGCATTGATCAACTCCATTTTATCAATCATGAAAATCCTATTTGGAAGACCACTTTGTCTTGGTTTAATCTTGGGATTAAAACCTAAGGCTCTTGAATTTTGACAGACAGGTCTAATAAGGAAGACTTTGGAACAGTGTAGTGACTAGATATGCCTGTAATGATGGAGTATTGTATCATTCTAAAATTAAAGCAGTGTGTATGGGCTTCGTTGTACTACTTTGGAGTCTCATGCAAAATCCAGCATTAGAAGAGGTAATTGGTTAAAAAAAAAACCCTCCTAGTAAAAATATCCATAGCAGTCATGGGGAAATAGTAAGAACACCGTATAACAATAATGAGAAAGTAATAAGAACCCTCTTATTAGTTACATGCCACTTTTTGGGGAATTTTAAATATTTTGTCTGTTTTTGTGTTTCAGCCCCCTTTACAAGATCCTTGCTAGATAGATCAGGATTACTACAAAAGTATTTAGATGGGGGAAATCTAAGGATTGCTAAGCTCAAGGATTGCTCAATACTGCTTCTGAATAGGAATGTAAGATTTTCACACATGAATAAGAGTGTTGCAAGACTTGAATTAAGGCCCTCCAGGGTTTTCGCCGGTGACGTCATGAGCTAGATGTCTTTCAGAGATGAGAAAGGTAGGTGGAGAGCCAATTTGGTGTAAGGGTTAAAGTGCCAGGCCCTAGAAACTGGGAGTCCATGAGGTCTAGCCTCCTCTTAGGCACAAAGTCAGCTGAATGCCCTTGGGCTAAATCATTCTTTCTCAGCCCCCAGGAAGAAGGCGGCAATTGCAAACTACTTCCGAAAATGTTGCCAAGAAAACTGCAGGGACTTGTCTAGGAAGTTGATAGGAGTCAACACTGAGTCAAAGGCACTGAAAAAAACTCTAGATGGGTGATACAGAAGAGAAAGCGTGTCTAGATCAGTGTTGCTCCATCGTGGCTGGCTGGGAAATTCTGGGAGTTGTCATCCACCTGTCTTAAGGCCACCAAATACACTTTTATAGGAGATGACTGCAGGTAAGTCCTTGATTTATGATTACAATTGAGCCCAAAATTTCTGCTGTTAAGTGAGATATTTCCTAAGTGAGCTTTGCCCCGTTTTACGACCTTTCTTGTCACAGTGGTTAAGCGAATCATTGCGGGTGTCAGGTTAGCAATATGGTTGTTAAGTGAATCTGGCTGCCCCATTGATTTTGCTTGTCAGAAGGATGCAAAAGGGGATCACATGACCCAGGACACTGCAACCGTCATAAAGATGAGTCATAAAGATGAGTCAGTTGCCAAGCATCTGAATTTTGATCACGTGACTATGGAGAGGCTGCAATGGTCGTAAGTATGAAAAACGGTCACAAATCACTTTTCAGTGCCATTGTAACTTTGAATGGTCACGAAATGAACTGTTTGTAAGTCAAGGACTACCTTTATACATTCCACTGTTTGGAATATAAAGTTTTAAATAAGTACATATAATAATAATAATATAATGGAGTTGGAAGGGACCTTGGAGGTCTTCTAGTCCAGGGGTAGGCAACCTTGGCTCTTTTATGACTCATGGACTCCAACTCCCAGAATTCCTGAGCCAGCAGGAAGTTGAAGTCCACGAGTCATAAAAGAGCCAAGGTTGCCTACCCCTGTTCTAGTCCAACCCCTTTTCAGGCAGGAATCCCTATACCAGTGGTGGCGAACTTACGGCACGAGTGCCAGAGGTGGCACTCAGAGCCCTCTCTGTGGGCATGCACGCCGTCACCCCAGTCCTAGGCCTTCAGCTAGGTTTTATAAAACCTTTTCGCTTTAGGCCTCTGCTGCCGTGTGCAAAAAAAAAATTCAATCAATCAGTCAATTTCAACTTCTTGTGGGGAAAAAAAAGATCTTGCAAAGTTGGAATTGATTGATTGAACTTTTTAGTCCCAGCCACTCTGCCGTTACCACTGCAGCCGCACCCAGCCAATGGGCCACGCCCAGCCAATGGGCCACACCCACCCGGCACCCAACGATGCATAAGTGGGTTTTGGGTTGCAGTTTGGGCACTCGGTCTCTAAAAGGTTTGCCATCACTGCCCTATACCATTACAGACAAATGGCTGTCCAGTCTCTTCTTAAAAACTTCCAGTGTTGGAGCACTCACAGCTTCTGGCGGCAGGTTGTTCCACTGGTTGATTGTTCTTACTGTCAGGAAATTAATTCCTCTTTAGTTCTAGGCTGCTTCTCTCCTTGCTTAATTTCCATCCATTGCTTCTTGTCCTGCCTTCAGGCGCTTTGGAGAATAACTTGACTCCCTCTTCTTTGTGGCAGCCCCTGAGATATTGGAACACTGCTATCATGTCCCCCCGCGTCCTTCTCTTCATTAAACTAGACATATCCAATTCCTCCACTTACAACCACTTGTTTAGTGACAGTGCCTTTCACTTACAATCATCACAGCATCCCACGGTCCATGTGATCTGAATTCAAGAGCATGGCAACCAGCACATATTTAAAATAGCTGACTTGGGGTCACGTGATCACCATTTGAGACCTTGCCAGTTGGTTTCTGACAAGCAAAATCACGGGGGAAAACTGGATTTGCTTAGCAACCACGTGATTCATTTAACAACTGCAGTGATTTGCTTAACCATTATGGTTAAAAGAAAGCTCATAAAATTGGGTGAGACTCATTGAACAATCACCTTGTTTAGCAGTGGAAATTCTGTTCCCGATTGTAGTCGTAAGTCGAGGATCACCTGCATTATAATGGCCTTGCCACTGCTCTTAGGTTGATAATGATTAAATTCACTTTTCCTTTTGGTGTTGTGGGGGAAGGTCAACATAACATGGCATCTGTTGCACAGCAATGGGGCAAGACCCCTTCGGCAAGCTTGCAAGATGATAATTTAAATTTGCACAGTTGGGCATTATAACTTGCTCTAAATGTTATTCCCAATTAGGCAACTTGATTACATTCATGCATTATGAGTCGTTTTTAATTAAGTTCTGATGAATAAACCATAATAGACAAGCTTCTCACGACATGTAATACTTAATATAACCAGGTTTAAACCATAATGTGGTTTCCTTGCACATGGTTCAGTATGTGATTTAACATCATCATCATCGTTAGCCATTTGTCTATCCCAGGGGTCTGTGCCTGGCTGAGGAATTCTGGGAGTTGAAGTCCACAAGTCATAAAAGGGCCAAGTTTGAAGACCCCTGGTCTATCCACTGCAGGATGAAGGCCTTTTCCGCATGTTTCCAACCAATACGGTCCTGAGCTTTCTTTTGCCAATTGAGATGGCAATACTTGCTGATGTCGTCGCTCCATCTTGTTTTAGGTCTTGTTTTATCAAGTGGGATTCACTCTATGACTGCCTTGGTCCACCTGCCATCAGTTCTTGCTGTGTGACCAGCCCATTTCCATTTCAATTCTTTCATTCTTTGATGATATCGTATACTTTTGTTTGTTCTCTAAAATCCATGTGTGGGTCTTTCTATCCTGTCTTGTGATACCGAGCATGGATCTTTCCATGGCTCTTTGCGCCACACGTAGCTTTTGTATCAATTGTGAGGTTAGTGGCCATGTTTCACTGACATATGTTAGAACCGGTGTGATTTATAAACCATTTTAGCACCCTGGTTTACTGTAGTCTGTTAGCTGAGCCAGTTGTGGGTTTTTAAATTATGATTGAGCAAACTATAGTATATTGTGTAATACACACAGCCTTTATCAAAACATAGTCATTAATTAAAACCAGGGTGGCCTATTAAGCGATTGTTGCTATTTCCATTCCTCTTAGTATTCTACAAGTGGTGAGGAAACGTTTCTGAGCCCTGTAGAACTATCTGGAATCTGGAATGTGATCTAAGTGACTGGTTCAAAATCAATAGCTAGAGATATAATTAACCAATAAAAACAGTATCTCAGACAGCGTAGTAGGTCATGCCCTTATTGAGCCTGTTAAGCAAACATTCACTGAGTCTGTTTGGAAAAGAATATGTAACCAGGTCACGCAATGATCCTAAACACACCAATAGATCAGTTGAATGACCAAAATAGAAGAAATTTTGTATTTTGGAATCTCGATTATAGCTTAAGTCAGTGGTTCTCAACCTGTGGGTCGGGACCCCATTTGGGGTCGAACAACCATTTCACGGGGGTCGCCAAACAACACAGTCCGCCATTTTCCCCCCCTTTTCTTTAGCTGTGCTACTCCCTTTTATTCTATTGGCTTTTGAAAACCAATAGAATAGACTCTCTTGAATATTTATTTATTTATTTATTTATTAGACTTATATACCACTTTAAGTGCAAGCACTCTCTAAGCGGTGTACACCAGTAAGCAATGTATATATATATACATTGCCCCCAACAATCTGGGTCCTCATTTTACCTACCCCGGAAGGATGGAAGGCTAAGTCAACCTTGAGCCGGTGAGATTTGAACCGCTGACCTGCTGAACACAGTCAGCTAAAGTGGCCTGCAGTACTGCACCCTAACTGCTGCGCCACCTCGGCTCAATATAGAGTCAATATAGAATAGAGTCTAATTCTATTGGCTTTCAAAGGCCAATAGGAATTGTCCAAGCTGTCTCTGCCCTGCTGAGCCCGCCAAAAGTCCCATTCTGCAAACGGTGCTGTACCAGTTGAGTAGTCCTCGACTTATGACCGGTTCAGTAGTCCTCAACTTACGACTGGTTGGGGGTCGTGGCATTAAAAAGGTTGAGAACCACTGGCTTAAGTGAAGCTCTGAGCACATAATAGATCACAGCACTGTGGATCATGGATAATTGTAAAGAATTCGCAAACTTTCATCACTGTAATTGTGGGAACGGGTTTCCTTCTAGTAGTTTCTAGTAGTACAGAGTTTCATTTCTGCTGAAATGAAAGTCTGGCATAGTGGTTAGAATAGAAAGCTGGTTTGGTCTAATGTAGAGGTAGGCAACCTTGGCCCTTTTATGACTCGTGGACTTCAACTCCCAGAATTCCTGAGCCAGCATGGCTCAGCTTGGAAATCTCTCCCTTTCCCCTCCGGATGGCTGGCTCAGGAATTCTGGGAGTTGAAGTCCACGAGTCATAAAAGAGCGAAGGTTGCCTATCCCTGCACTAGACCATATTTTACCATGTTATTAATGGGGATTCATTTGATTCTTAAAGATTTAGAGGCTTTCTTTTATTCTTTAACGTAGATGTAGATGTTTGCATTCGGTGTCATCAGACTAAAGATCTCTGATCCGGCAACTAGATGGATTAAATGTGGATTTTGGAAGCATTCTCTTGTTTGCATTATGTTACAAAGAAGTTACACAGTCTATCAGGACTGCATCTCTATACAAGTAGTCCTTGACTTAAAACCAATTGCTTAGTGACCAAGTTACCATGGACCCCGAAAAAGCTATTTATCACCCAGATTTGAAGTTTCTGCAAACATTTCCTCCCCCCCAGGTCACGTGATCGCATTTTGGTGTTTGGCAACTGGCCCACATTCACAACTGCAATTTATGACATTTTTGCTGGAAAACAATGTTTATTTCCAGTTTCCAGCAAAAAACGCCCCATAGCAAACAATGGGTTTGCTTAATGACTACTGCATTTCACTTTTTGACCGCTGTGCAAAAGGTTGTAAAATCGGGTGTGGTCATGCGATGATCTGCTTAATGACTGTCATGTTATGACTGAAATTGCGGGCTCAGTTAAGCTGCAAGTCGAGGAGTGCCTGTATTGTGCTCAAATTCTTCCAAGAGTCTGTTAGATTTTAATACAACCAGGGTACAAAGCCTACGATAATGATGATACAGTCTGATATCATTTCTATGTATATACTGAAATAGGTGGACATCTATTATTTTATGGAACTATATGGAATCATGGTTTTCCCAGTTGCAATGTATGGCTGTGAAAGTTGGACCATAAGAAAGGCTGAGCGCCAAAGAATTGAGGCCTTTGAACTATGGTGCTGGAGAAGACTCCTGGCGAGTCCCCTGACTCCAAGGCGATTAAACCGGTCAGTCCTAGAGGAGATCAACTCTGACTGCTCTTTAGAAGGCC